AGACCAACCTCAGGAAGTTTGGTGGTTTCAGCTATTCAAGCAGAACGGCTGATAGAGAAGGGTTGTGAGGCGTATCTAGCAACGATCACTACTACAGAAGGAGGACCGGATGTGGACTTAGGCAGTATACCGGTGGTGCAAGAATTTGAGAATGTTTTTCAGGCGTTGACAAGACTGCCACCAGCTCGTTCAGATCCATTCACGATTGAACTTGAGCTGGGGACAGCTCCATTATCCAAAGCACCATACCGGATGGCGCCAGCGGAGATGGCTGAACTGAAGAAGCAGCTAACGGAGTTGTTGGACAAAGGTTTCATTAGACCTAGTAGTTCACCGTGGAGAGCACCAGTGTTGTTCGTGAAGAAGAAGGATGGGAGCTTCAAGCTTTGCATTGATTACCGCAGATTGAACCGTGTGACCGTGAAGAACAAGTATCCACTTCCCAGGATAGACGAGTTGTTGGACCAACTCAGGGGAGCTACTTGGTTCTCTAAGATCGATTTGGCATCAGGGTACCATCAAATACCCATAGAGGAGACAGACGTGCGTAAGACTGCCTTTAGGACAAGGTATGGTCATTACGAGTTTGTGGTCATGCCATTTGGTTTGACGAATGCGCCAGCTGCATTCATGAAGTTGATGAATGGCGTATTCAGAGAGTACCTAGATGAATTTGTGATCATTTTCATAGATGATATTCTAGTATACTCTAAGGATGAGGAAAATCATAGGAGTCATTTGCGGACTGTTTTGGAGAATTTGAGAGAACAGAAGTTATATGCCAAGCTCAGTAAGTGTAGCTTTTGGCAACGGCATATAGGGTTCTTGGGTTATATTGTTTCGGATAAGGGAGTGTCCGTGGACCCAGAGAAGATTCAGGCTATTGCGGATTAGCCTAGACCAGAAAATGCTACAGAGATAAGGAGTTTTCTCGGACTAGCTGGTTACTACAGGCGGTTTGTCAAAGGTTTTGCAAGCATGGCTCAGCCAATGACAAAGCTGACTGGTAAAGACGTGGAGTACGTCTGGACGGATGAGTGTGAAGAGTGCTTCTCAAAGTTAAAGGAGTTACTCACTAGTGCACCAATATTGGCGTTACCAGAACCGGGTGAGCCATACGTGGTATACACGGATGCATCCAGGAAAGGACTAGGTTGTGTTCTGATGCAGAATGGTAAGGTGATAGCTTATGCTTCGCGGCAGCTACGAAAGCATGAAGGAAACTATCCTACGCATAATTTAGAGATGGCGGCTGTGGTATTTGCACTTAAGATATGGAGATCTTACTTGTATGGCGAGAAGGTGCAGATACACGGACCATAAGAGTTTAAAGTACATCTTTACTCAACCGGATTTGAACTTGAGACAGCGTAGATGGATGGAGTTGGTAGCGGACTATGATTTGGAAATAGCATACCATCCAGGAAAGGCCAACTTGGTGGCGGATGCGTTGAGTAGGAGAAGGGCTAGCGTGTCATCTAAACAGAATGTTGGAAGCATTGTGAACACGCTAAGGACATTGCAGTTGAATGCAATAACGGATGGGGTTGAACCGTTGGGTTTGGAAGCTGCGGATAGAGCTGACTTGTTGACTAGGATTCGGATTGCTCAGGAGCAGGATGAGAATCTGAAAAAGGTGTCACAGAATGACAAGACAGAATATCAGACTTCAAACAATGGGACCATTGTTGTGAACGGACGGGTCTATGTTCCAGATGTGAAGGAGTTAAGGGATGAGATCCTTAAGGAGGCACATCAGTCAAGGTTTTCTGTTCATCCGGGAATGACCAAGATGTATCAGGATTTGAAACGGTACTATCATTGGGTTGGGATGAAACGGGATGTGGCTAAGTGGGTAGCCAGATGTGAGACGTGTCAATTGGTTAAGGCAGAGCATCAGTTTCCAAGTGGTTTGTTGCAAACGTTGCCAATGCCAGAATGGAAATGGGACATGATCACCATGGACTTTGTACTGGGATTACCTAAGACTAGGAAGTTGCATGACGGGATATGGGTCATTGTGGATCGTTTGACCAAGTCTGCTTACTTCTTAGCAATGAAAAAGACGGATGGAGTACCAAAGTTGGTGGATATGTATATTGATCAGATCGTGAAGTTGCATGGAGTGCCAGTAAGTATCATTTCAGATCGTGATCCAAAGTTTACTTCGAGGTTCTAGAAAGAGTTCCAGGAAGCGTGTGGGACGCGGTTGCATATGAGTACAGCGTATCATCCTCAGACTGATGGGCAATCAGAACGGACAATCAGAACATTAGAGGATATGTTGAGAGCGTGTGTACTGGACTGGGGTGGTAGTTGGGAAGACTACTTACCGTTGGCTGAATTTGCATACAACAATAGTTACCAAAGGAGCATAGAGATGTCTCCGTATGAGGCGTTGTATGGCAGGCCGTGTAGGACACCATTGTGTTGGACACAAGTGGGGGAGCGTAGTGTAATAGGGCCAGCAGTGGTCGAGGCTACTGCAGAAAAGATCAGATTGTTAAAGGTTAAGCTGAAAGAGGCTATGGACAGGCAGAAAAATTATGCGGACAAGCGTCGCAGGGATTTGGAGTTCAGTGTGGGTGATATGGTTTATCTTAAGGCACTGACCTATAAGGGAACGGATAGGGCAGCTAAGAGTGCCAAGTTGAATCCGAGGTACATGGGGCCGTACCGGATACTGGAAAGAGTTGGCACAGTGGCTTACAAGTTGGACTTGCCATCAGAAATGGGAGCGTTCCACAATGTATTCCATGTGTCACAGTTGAGAAAGCACATTACCGAACGGGAAACGGTTATAGAGGAGCCACCAGCAGACTTGCAAGAGGACTTTGCAGTAGTGGCTAGACCGGTTCGAGTAATAGGACGGAAAGAAAAGACTAAGCGTGGGAAGCTGGTCAGAATGGTTCAGGTCGTATGGGACTGCGACGGGCATGAACAGGTTACTTGAGAAAAGGAGGCTAGGATGAAAGCTGAATATCCCAAATGGTTTGACAAGTTGTAAACGGATGAGTCGGATTCGAGGACGAATCCAGAACAAGTGGAGGAGAGTTGTAGCATCCGTATCCGAGAAAATGCAGACTGATCGTACCGGACAGGGGGTTGTCCGAGGAATGACCGAGCCAAGGGTCGGATATTGGCTGAGAAATGGAGGTTCGGACTATGGTCGGGTGATGACCGGTGAAATAGTCGGACATGGGCTGGATAGCCGAGCCGGATGGACCATATCCGAGGGAAATGGGGTCCAGTCCGAGGAAAAGTGGGATTATCCTAAGGGAAATAGGATTTATCCGAGAGTCTGGGAGGTTAGTCCGAGTGTCAGTGGACTGTCTCCGAGGGGGAATAGGAAACCTCCGAGAGAAATAGAGGATTAGCCGAGGTGGGACAAGTTGTCCGAGAGAAATAGGAATAGCCGGGTGAAAAATGTAAAACACCTCGGATAAGGGCGGTTTATCCGAGTGGGAAGGGATTTGGGCCGTGGGCCAAGTGTTTGGTCGGCTATTTTGGGGTTTATCGAAGGATGGGTCGAGCCGGTACAGGGAATAGCCGAGAGAATCGAATCGGACCGGGATAAAGCTTACTGGAACCGGGAAAACGTCGGATAAGTCCGGGTTACCTAAGGTTTTGCGAGTATATAAAGGAATTTGAGACTTAACTCGAGGGTGTTGCGTTTATTTGAGCTAAATAAAGCAAAGAGAGAGTTTAGTCAAGAGAAAACCCTAAGAAAAACAGTTTATCCCGAGGACATCCGAGAGAGATCAGATTATCGTCGAGCAAATCCGACCATCGCCGAGATAAACTGGTAAGCGATCGGATATTTTCCTAAGTGTTGAGTTTTCATCAGATAACCTCGAGCTAATAGCCTTGTTTTGTGGGGTTTCTGAGGGAAAACAGAGTTTGGCTCGAAGAAAGGTGAACGGATCAAGAGATAGCCGAGGGGATAAGGATCGGATCGTACCGAGAGCCGAGAGATTTTTAGGGAGATCGGATATCTTCGTTTTGGTGCGGTTTTCATCGGGATTTCTTCTGACCAATCTGTTTCCAGCCTGTCTAAGGTGAGTGTGTGACTGTGGTTAGGTCTAGAACCGTAGGATTGCTAGGGTTGAATGTTTTTGCATGTGATTGTGTGATTTTCATGTTGTGTGTTTGGAATTGATAAGCAATCCTTATGATATGAGATATTGTGGTGTTTATCGAGGCATATATGATGTTTAGCTAAACTCAGGGTAATCCGGATCATGTACTAGCTTAGGGGATGTGGGATTCTCGCTGAAGTAGACATAGGTCTTAAAAAGGGATTGATCTTGGTTGGTTAGGCTAGATGATCATGGCCGTGTGATATTGTGATGTTTATTGCGAATTGATTGTGTTGAATGTTGAATCCGAAAGTATTGCTGTGTGTTTTGGTACTGACCAGGTGTTACAGGATGACCGTACTCACTAAGTATTTATGAAATACTTATGCCTCTCATCTTGAGTGTGCAGGTACTAAGCAGTAAAGGGGCGAGACCAGGCGGCAGTGATGGACATGGATGGATCGGGGTTGTGTGTTTTATAATTTAAGACTTGTGTTAGGGTCTTATGGCTTTGGTGTTTAACCGTTCAGGTTGCTAGATGATTGGTTGTAATCGTTAGTGAACCTTGTGATTTGACTTATGTGGAACCCCGAATCTGTTTAAGTGTTTTTAAGAGTTAAATGAATGAAATGAGTTATTTATATTCCGCTGTGTAATGATAAAAATGACTTGCAAATAAAAAGAAAAAGTTCAAAAATATGGCTAAGTATAGAATTGGACTTAAAGGATGTAGTGGACACAGCCGCGGTACGATTTATCGGGTTGAGTTACCACATAATCACTATTTAAATTTAGAATTTCGTAAAAGGTCGAGTCTGATAAAAAACTGGCGGATATCCAACCACAACAATTCCATGGTTTAAGTTTGTTCCGCACATTCCATCGAAAATTCCCTTTTACGGCAACAAACAAAAAAAACATTCACTGCATATATGAACACAACTCTAAAAACATATCTTAACATTACTAACCAAAAAACTATAAAACGTTTTAAAACAAAACTTTAGAGAACTCTTTTATTTTTACCGATTCATAAAGCTGATATTCCCGGCTGCTGGAATCGATAATGGCCGTTATTGGTTGGTGAGCAACAGCTTTCCTTAGAGTAAGTTCGTCGTTTGAAGGCAAATTCTCATACCCATCAATCATAACATTGTTGTTGTTTCCCTACGTGCAAAAATAGTTTTGAAACTAAAATATTTGCAAATTGATGTTTTATGTTGTTTTTGTTAGAGACTCATTATTTCTTTATATATATATACACGATTGTAACTGTACCGACCTTGAGGCGACCGTCGCAAACTCCATTAACAGCCTTGTAAGGATAATCGTTGTCGGTACCAAGACCATCATTGTTAACTATGAACTCATAGGCAGTCTCGACTTCACCTCCACCGCAACCATTATTTTCTTGGTTACAATTGATCAAATCTTGCTCAGACAAAGTGACTAACTCTCCTGTCACGATCTTGTTTAAGCCTTCCACTGCCCCAACTGTCGAGAACGCCCAACAACTCCCTTCACACAAGAAGGAAGCATGCATGAAGATAGGCTATGCTATTCCTAGTTAATATCGGTATTTGGTTCGACGAAAACTAATGTTTTCAAATTCGGCTTGAATTGATGAGATTTAGAAACCATGTTCCACAAAAGTACATCAGAGATGTTTAAATAAATATAAGAATTTATATATATTAGTCTAAAATAATTTTCAATGAAAATGAATTTAACTGTTATGCACTAGCTCGAATATAACATATAAGAGAATTAGAAACATATTTTAATCTCGATTAGCCTTACGTTACGTGTAAGAAACATGCAGTTCAACAAGCCATGCAAAATGAAATGTGTAAAGATCATTCATATATGTTTCTTTACATTATGAAGCCAAATTTTATTTCTGATGAGACAGAAAAATAGTAATTCACAAGGAGTGAATTGTATATATAGCCAACTCTTAACTTAAATCAAGTTATCCTCAAAAATTTCAATATAAAAAGCATACAATAGAACCTTTGTAAATCAATACTCAATAAATTAATAATATTTTTTGGTTTCAAAATTAGTTTATCAATCAAATAATATTTTTATAAATTAATAAAATTTTATGGTCCTAATAATATTAATTTATATAAGTTTTACTGTATATCAAATAAATTCCCTATATTTTATTTCTCTAGTGTTTTTAATAACTCAAATTACACCATTTACTTTAAAATATTAAAATAGTTAAATGGATCGGATTTAAAATCACCCCACACTTACTGCAATGGCCTTGATCTTTGACTTCAGTCACTGCGCCTTCGCTCCTCCAGTCAACGGACTTAGGAAGCACATCACCAACACTAGTCTTGTATCGGTTGTAGTAGTCATAAACACGTGGTTCCTAGGTGGTGTTGGATCAGCCCCGTGACAAACTTCGTTGTACTCGTGGAGAGATAGATCAGCAAACCGGGTCAAACCGAGCCGATAACCGCGATTCTCAGCATTCCGGTTAGTGATGAAACGGAGGTTGTCCTCGAAAATCGTTAACCGCCGTTCCTTCTCGGCAACGGAGTCGTACACTTTCCCATGTTTGACCATCCATGACTCGAAGATCAACACAGCCTCAGCGTCGAAAACGCTCTGGCTGCGGTCGGGACTGGTGGTCACGTGGTGTGCTTCGTCGTAGGAAACGACGGACATGTCCATGGCCGTGGCACAAGCGATGAGCATTGCTAGTAAGAGGATCAGCATGGCTGATTTAGCATTACCCATTTTCTTTTTAGGGTTTAGAGCTGATAAAACTTAATTTGATTTGTGTTTGTTTCTATAAGTTAAATAAAGAAAAGGGGAGGAGTTTGTGTTCTGTGATTTTTGCTAAGACATGATAGTATTTATATAGTACGCAGTGCTCGGATATGAGATAATAACAAATCGTTTATTACAATCCAATGGAGTGAACAAATGGGCAGACCTACGCGTGGTGAGCATGTTTAATGTAACAAGACAAACAAGTAAAACTTCTAACCTTAAAAAGAAAAAAAATTCACAACCACACATAATTATAAAAAAAAAATCAGTGCAAAAAGATATTCCACATTCAAAATGTGATGGAATCTCAGTGGGAAATATGCTAATTGTCTTACCTTTAGTTGGTTTTGAGATAAAAGTTAAATGAAAATTATCGTAGTATTAAAATTCAATTACACACTTTTCCCAAATCATCCGGCTCGAACATAGCCTGATCCTGACCCAAAATCTGTTGAAACCCAAAATTAATCTTATAGTCTATCTTCCGAGTGATCTCGCCCAAAAATAATAGTAGTTACTTTGGAAGAATATCTTCGGTTGCTGACACTATTCGCGGGTTAAGGTTCTGAGCTCGGAGGCCAAATTCGGTTTGTTGATCTCCCCGAATGTAATCCATGTGTTGGGACCACACAAGTGTTTAATATTTACCAAAATTAAATAATATTATAAATCTCATAAGAAAACATTAATAGTTTACTTGACCCGGCAGGTCCTATTATGTCTCTCAATTATTTTGAAAACTAGTGTTAATCACAAGCTGAGACAAAAAGAAATTTCAACTTTTTGTTCCAGATAATTTATATAAGAACGTGAGAAGAAAATTAAATAGTTACGGACAGAGTTCAGTGGATAATCTGAAACCAATTAGTTACATTACATATAAATATATAATGTGTATGTATTCATCTGTAAAGAGCTGCCACGAAAGTTGAAAGCTATATTCGTAGTCCATCACAAGTACTGCACCGAAATTTGGTTACATAAGTCGCAAATTAGCCACAATACACAAAGAGCACTCGATATGGCTTTAACTACAGAGAAGTAGACACTTCTATATGTAGCAGTCGATATGTCATTAACTACAGAAAATTAGACAATTTTATAAATCGTATTTTCATTATGTAAATGACTTCTTTTCCTCCTACCCACCCTGACAGAATTCGGTTTATTTTAAAGGAATAAGAATGCTACAAGAAAAATAATATTTGCTGGTAGAATCACATTTGGTTAAAATAATATTTAACCCAAATCATCAAGAATACCAACGCACGCTACATGTCCCACTTCAGATTTACATGCATGCAAATAAATCTAAAGCTTTTATGATTTGGGTGCATAGATGTGTCTTCTCTGTAGAACGTATAACTCGGAATGTGTTCCAGAAGAAATGAAAAAAAAGATACGGTAAAGCTAGGTCGGAGTAGGACAGTTATATATAATTTTAAAATGCATCATGTATACGATAAATTATAAACTACATAAAGTGTATATTATATAGACTGCAGGCGTCACAGAAATAATAAATTATACTAAAAATGAATTATATAGTTAAACCAAAACAACGAATTATATATAATGTATATTAGGCTACGTTAGGTATAATTTGTATTATTATTTTTCCTTTAATTACCTAACGTCCCAATCACATTTTCGGATGCCCTACATAAATTTAACAGGGCAGTGTCCTTTTCACATAGACTAGGCTTTTAATTCCTCATAGGCGCGAGTCTGTATTAATAATTTGGTTTTATTCTTTTGGTTAATATTTTTTAAATTATCAAAACTATAATATATTTATAGAATTTTTTTATATAAAAAAATTAAAACATAATATGTAGTTTTAAATATTTTTTAATATAAATCTTATTAGGTTAAATCATAGTAATAACATCTTACGAATTATCCAACTTCGACATGCATACGTTTGATTTAGAGAATAATTTCCTTACTAATTTTTTGATATTTTGTTTTGTGTCCTTAAATTTTTTATAGTTCTTTTTTTTAAGGTTTATATGTTCAAATATTTAGTTTTTGATTTAATGTCTCGCTGATGTTGTGTACCTGTGAATATATAATATATGACTCATTTTGATTCAGATTTACTTTTGTTAAGATACTACAATAATCATGTAGAGCTGTTTTTTGCTTTTCAACCAGATCTTCTATGAATTTTGGATTATATCTTTATTTAGTTTATAAGATCTGTTTTTTTGCAGTCAACTATTTGATTGTTTTTGTTTTACAACATATAAGATAGTGTGGAGTCTTCACATTATTACTATTTTTATCTTTTGTGTGGTTTATTCATGTTTTGATTTGAATAGTTTATCTAGATATATTCCAATTTGAAGTTGATTCATAACTCCGTCATACTTTATTATCTAAAGGAAAATTTAGAAGATATTACTCATGTGTTGTTCATGTTGGCTAAGTTATAATTAATAACTATATATAAATTAGTTGTTATATTTCGAATGTAAAATTACTTGTGTAGTATTTTTTTGTTAGTTTTTAAACCAGACACAGCCAATGTATTAGTCATTATAAATTTAAATAATATATTTGATTTAGAAACTTGTAAAACCTACTGTAACTTTATATGGTTATTCATAGTCTATACCAATATTTTAGAAATCATAAATTTTCTAGAACTAAATTTCAAACTAATTTTCTTCTTATATTTTATTTTTTGTTATTTTACATATCTTTCGATGGTAATTTTATATTTTATTTTAATTAATCTCTTTTGTTATTGATTTTCCAAATATGTAGCATATATCAATTTAATCTATTTTACAAAAATATTTTTTCTTTGTTAAATTTGTTTTTACTTTAATTTTTTATTTTAATTATAATGCTATTTTGACATGCTATAACTGTGTATTCTACATTTTATGTGGACTTCTTTTAAAAGCTTATACCACCATTTGCTTTTTTAGTTAATTTTTTATGTTGATTTTCAAAAATATTAGCCTAAATATCAATGTAGGTTTTCTTTATGCAACTTTTTTCTTTTAATAATCGACTTCTCTTGATATTGATTTTTATTTTGCTTTAACATATAATTGTTTTGAAAAGATTGATATTTTTGAAGACATTTTTTTTGTTTTTCTGTTAGTTAAATATTTTAATATTGATTTCTTAAGTAGTTAGTCAAATATCAAGTCAATTTCGTTTTAGGTGATTTTTAAAAAAATTAACATTTTGTAAAACTTATTTTTTTTTTTACTTTTCTTTGTTAATTAATTTCTTAATATTGATTGTTTAAATAATTAGCTTAAATATTTATCTTCTTTTTGTTGGTAAAATTTTTTAGTATTACTTAAGGTTTTTTATTTTCTTACTTATTTTGTTTATATTGATTTTGTTAAATAAAAAATAGCATAGATATCAATTTAATATTCTTTTTTTGTTCATTTAACTATTTCGATATGAATTTTATTTTAATCATATTGACATGTTGCAAAAATTAATTTACTTTTCATTTTTTGGTAGATTTTTGTGTGATTTTCTAAATTATTAGGCTAAATATCAAGTTTTAGATAATTTTTTTGATAGTATTGATAGTTTTAAATAATAATATTATATGTTTTTATAAAATAATTAATCTTCATTTATCTTCTAAATTAAAAACTCATATAAAATATATATGTTAGTTTTTTTCTTTTTTAATTAAACTTGTTTGTTATTGATTTTCATATTTGTTTTTGTTAGTTTAGCTTTTGTGACAATAGTTTCTATTTTATTTTGACAAACATAGATTTAGATTTTGACATAATTTTGTTTTATCTGTTTTATTAGTTAAACTTTTTAGTCTTAATTTTTTATTCACTATGATAATTTTATATTTTTGCATGTTTTAATTTATTTAAATTATTAATCATATTTAACATTTTTATGTTTAATAAAAATGTTGATGTGGACTAATCAGCTTGAGTTTCTAGTTATATGTGGACGCTCTCATTGGCATAAGACATCAACATGGACCACAACTAATATATTTTAGGTTAATAGTTTAGATTTTGATTGTTTGTCCTGATTAAAATTTTGAAATAATTTAATTATGGTCTTAAATACGGGATTTATTTATTTTGTTCAATATATATGATTTTCTTTAATTTTTTTTTGTTAAAGATATTTATATGCTACTTACTTTTTCTGTTAATAGAAAAATAAAATCTACTTAATAAACTTTTTCTTATTAATAACTTACTTAAAATTTGGAAACATTCCTAATAACAACAAAAACAAAATTAATTAAATTTTAGAAGTTTTCCTTATAACAATAAAAACAAATTAATTAATTTTAATATATAATATATAATTAACTATAAATAATGATGATGTGTATCAATAAATTTGAATCTATTAATCCTATGTGGATATCCTTAGAGGTATTTAACATCAACTTTTATTAGTAATAGATTTTATTGAGGTTATTTAGTAATAAACTTAGGTTAACTATACCAAAAGTTCTAGTAGGAATACAAACATGGAGGAAAGTATCTCTTTTAGTTTAATTAGCTAGTTTTTATATGCAAGTTCGTATATTAGTATAGAGATCCTTTTTTCTCGTGACACTTATTAAAATTTATCTTGATACATGTTTACTATCTTATGTTGATGATTTGATCTGTATTTTTATTATCACTTCTAAGATTTTGTGCTTTGTTCTTTTGAATTTCTTTTGCCTTTTTGGTATTTGTATGTCGTTTTGCTATACGATATAAATAGGGAATTAGCAAAAAGAGAATGCCACTAATTTATGCATACTTTGCAAAGTGCCATTAACCATGCTATTTTTTAAAAATTAATAATAAAAAATATATATATACCGTGAAGTTCTGGGCCGGGACCTATTTTATATATTTATTGATCTAGTTACACTCATAAATGTAGATAATACAAATTTATTGAAAAATAACTAAAGTATGTTAATCTTTAAAAACAGGGATTAATCTTTA